TTACTAGATTGATCTTTCTAGTCTCCTGAATCTGAGTGGTTCCTTCGTATTGGACACAAAGAGTATCCCATACAGATTTAGAAGTTTTGAGTGTCATCACTGAGTGATATATCTCATCAGGAAGAGACATAGCTATTATAGACCGAGTACGCGTGTCTATAGCTATTTTCTTCTTGTCCTAATCGCTCCACTGATGTGGAAGCTTTGGAATCTGCCGTTCAGGAATCRCGGCAGTCRTAGCTGTTGCTGGAACAGCCGGAACARTAGCAAATGGAATATATGGTCCATTTTCTATGTAATGTGGAATTTCAKAATCCACACCTTCCAGAAAGAGGGACATCCGGTTCTTCCAGAGACTAAAGTTGTCACGGACAAACCGGGGTGGTTTGGCAAGAGAGCCATTATCTTGTGTGTGTGTGTGTGTGTGTTTGTGATTTGTAAAGCCATTTATAAGCAGTAAGTTATCTAAGAAGAGATAAATTAGTACAGAAAATTAGCCAAACACAAGGAAAGAAAGAAAACACTGCTCTGATACCACTTGTTGGTCCCGTAAAGGTCTACAAGAATAAAAACAGTTTGTAGAAGAGGGGGGATGAATACAAACACAGAATTTTCAAATTTAAAATATATATTGGTATAGAAGATCAATACAGATTTTACAAGACTGTTTGCGAAAAGATAAGGTAATGAAAACCTATCTAAACAATCTTTGGTTACACACAGATCTTTAGCAAATACAAGAAAAGAGATTGCTAAAAGGAAGATCCTTTACTTAAGCTAGAAGTTGCTTGAAGTAAGAATAGGGTTAGAGAGAGATACGCGCTCTCTGCATGGAAAAGAAACACTTCTATTTATACCTAGTGCATTAAATGTTCATTTAATGCAATATGGTAGGTTTAGAGTGCGTGTCAAGCCTTAAGAGGAAGGCTTGTCCTTTGCTACAGTGAATAGTACAAAAGTACTATTTCTGAGCAGACATCCTTGCCTAAAGTTGGTGGACAAAGAGTCGACTAATCGGCTCCATACCGTACTAACTTTTGCAAGGGTATGGATTTGTCCTTTGTGTGCATAAGGACAAGACAACAACAATCGTGCTAAGGAAGCTTCCTTTGATCGCTGAATGCTGGAATGGCCTGGAGGTCTCATCATCATTCGCTGAAGCTAGAGCAGTCTTCACACATATGTAGACAGGCTTGTAATCACTGAATACCGCTTCAGATCACGTACTCGCCATTCTCTAATCTTCAGTTTCAGTCTTCGACGTTTGCTGAAGGTTCTTTGGTGTGAGTGTTGTCT